TGATGTTATTTTTAAAATGTCACTAAAAATTTAAAATCTTTTAAATTCTAATTAGATTTTCAAACAAAAGAAGGTAGAATGGGACTCATCTCATATAACCTCAAACTTTCAGTAAATATTAAAATTCTATCTTGAATAGTTTTTTCACAAAATAGATGCTTGCATGTTTTGATCAAGAATTACACCAGGTTACCCTAAATGTAAGGTTTAGTGGCGCAAGGTCCAGATGAGGACATGCTGCGCCAAACAAAACAGTAAAATCGTTTAAAAGCCTAAGTGCAAACAAAATTTAATTGTAACACAATTGTAATTGATAAAATAGTACAAGTAAGTGAATAAGACAAGGTAAATAATCTAAATAAAGTCAGATAAAAGTATGAATAAAATCAGATAAAAAGTATGAGTACAGTATAAAACGCAGTAAATGTGAGTAAAATGTACGAAGGTGGTAAGATATTTACAAGAGTGTATAAAACAGTAGATGTGTTAAGACTTTTATATGCTGTTAAAAATGCCAACGACACGCAAAAATGTTAGGATGGTGAATGTCATCCAACAAATCTTGAATGCATAAAATGGAACTACCAAATAACTTTAAACGATGTTGATTAAAACATGGACACGATATTAAAATATGATGAATTGTGAGAGGAACGTTACAAATACTGTATTCAGGGTAAGGTTCTCCGAACAGCAAATGAAGATGTGTTAACCGGGTGTGAGCAAGTCGCAGTCAAGTCAGTTTAATATCTGAACTACGCAGGTGCAAAACAGGCAAATGGTCCAAATTTGTTTTATCACAATGTAGCTTATTGAGAGTTTGGAGATCTCACCTTTGCTGCCATAAAGATGTTATAAATTTTCGAACATGCAGTTTAACATCCGTAAAAGGCGCAGATAATGACAAGAGATCCTGAATCTTAAGAAAGTAACACAATATAATTAAAAGAAAATATTAATTTTAGCATATATAAATTTGTTTTTCATATTCTATGCTGTATCATAAGAATAGAATGTTACATCACTTAAAAAATCATTTCAGCAAAAGAGCACATTACCACACACTTAGAACATGCAATGGAATTAAAAATTTTAACACTCAATAAATTAATTATTAGCAATTAAAGCGAAATCAATGTTGACTGTTTGCGTGGAAAGTTCTGCAGCCCAAGAAAACATGTCAATGAAAATCAAATTTGATAGATTAAAAGTTCTGTCTTTAACAAGTCAATCGGGATAATTGACACTTGTTTACGCCAACAGACTCTATAGGTTCCAGTAATTTGCAATTTTTTTAATAAAAAAATCATTACCATAGAATCAGGGTTGGGGTTTTGGATGTCCTAAACTGGTTTTGGACAGGACAAGTGGGTTTTACTGTCTTAAACTGGATAAAACTGTCCTAAACTAGATAAAACTGTCCTAAAGTGTCCAAAACCTTGAACTTTGGTAAAAGGAAAAAATTCTATAGCTGTAATCATTGTACACATAATAATTACATGCATCAATAAATATTTGATATTTTTTAAACAATTTACTTTAACTTAGTAAAGGAAAATATAATATAATAGGAAAAGATTTATAATTTTTGAAGCTCCACAATTGATTGAACAACAAAAGTGAATACCTAATCCTTTAAATATAAATATGCTTTTAATACTGATAAATAATGTTTTCACATAAGGAAAAATAATGCAAAATTTAAATATAATAATAATTTTTTTTAAAAAATACTAAATTTGTTTAAAAATTAACCTTTTATTTTTCCAATATTTTTTTAAAAAAATTTTATAATTTTTGCATTACAGGATGATAAAAAAGACATTTAAAAAAAAAAAAACATTTTAAATATAAATATGTTAGTTTAAATTGGAAATACAACATAACTGAAAAATGTATTAATAGTTTTGAAGGGCATAACACCAGTTTCAGTTACTGACACTGGTGATGTATCACCACTATGCTAAAAGAATCTAACATGAATGAAATAAAAGTATTCTTGAATAGCACTATAGATAAATAGACCTGTTTATGACTAACCAAGCACTTAGTCCCTAATAGTAACATCTATGGCAAGGTCAAACTTCAGTTATGTACTATTAAATGAGAGGACCACTTGAACTTGATTACTGATTTATCTTCCTTTGTTTAATGTTTA